CTGTAGTGACACTGGCCTCTTTGTGAAATAGATACTTTAAGCCCTCTGTAGTCTCTAGTGTGTTGCTTTGGCAGCGGGTTTTAATAACACGGTGGATTAGAAGCCTTGGATCATGAGTGCCGGGCCCGAGTTAAAGCTCACCTTGGATGAGCCTCAGTAACAGGCTAGATGCCACGGTCCTCCTCCTCCTCCTCCTCCTCCTCCTCCCTGCTCACAGCGTCTACTCCACAGCTTTAAGAGAGATGACCTTTGCAAATATTGACAGAAAATAAATTCTGTTTCGATTAGTTAGCTTTGGGAGACCTTTGCGAATCAATGCAATTAGATGAACAGAGTGTCGATACGTGGCCGGAGCCGTTGGAAGGCACTGGTAAGGAGAGGCTTCAGGGGGTCAGGGTTACTTGTAATGAACAGGATGTTTTTGGATTCAGGGTCTGTAATGTCAAACCCTAGCAAAAATGACTACATTGCATCACATCCTGTTTGCGGCACAGAACAATTTACTGTCTCAGAAAAGCATTGGAAAAAAATTATAATAAAGAAATGCACAGAGCAATACCTCTCGTGTATTTTCTGGCATCTGACTGTGCAGCCGGCCAGCAGAATGAGGTGAAGAAGCCCAGAGCCACCCCTTCCCTCTTACACAGGCCGCATTATCCCAGCAGGACTCTTACCTTTATGGCTCTCTTGCTCACACTTCAGTGATGAGAGCAAACAAGCAGCGGGCCAAAGGTCAGCTAAGCCCACAGAATAAAAGAGGGCACACGGGAGAGGTGGGAGGAAAAGAGAGCGGGCCGAAGCAATGCTTAGATCACTGCCAGGACGTCAAGCAGCGAATGATGTATGAGACAACAGCCCCCGAACCCGGAAATGATTATAAACAGAGAACAGGGGAGAGTATATGAGAGAAAAGGGCTGCATTGTCTTTATCTGTCAAATTTGTTACTTCCTCAGATCTGATAGAGGCGGTGAAACCTGTAAAAAATGAAAAGGAGAACCACCCCTGACTGATAGGGATGGATTAATCACAGTGTCTCCTTTTGTCTCAGCCACAGAGGAGAAATGAGGAACAATCATATAGGCAAGTGCTCCTTCCCCGGCTACTCCACCTGTATTGTTAAATGACAAATGGGGCTGATTAAGGACATGTTACATTATTACTACAATTTCAGATTTTTTTTCTTCTTCTTTACATCATTAAGTGCGTTCTGGTAATTAAGTGAGCCGGCATCATTGCAGTTTTGTGAAATAACTAGACCACGTATGGATTTTTCATTCTCAAGTTCCCATCGCTCGCAGGCTTCACCAAGGTGACACGACTCCCGCACTTTCCCTCTGCACCCAGATTAATCCCACTTTGACTGTGGAGGTGGATTAGAGCTAAACTCGGGTGCCCAAACTTGTTTTAATACCCATATCATCAGACAAAAACAGGATAAAGATTTGAGCAGCAATGCAGGGCTTGAATGTGGCTTTGCAAGTTACTATACAGATTTGTCAACCACACAGCAAATTAAAGATATTATCTCGCTGCGGAGCCTATTTTGTGGAAGTTGTGTGATGATGCAGAGCTCAGACAGTGAATCCACAATCCTCCAACAAAGGTACACGAAGAGAGACAGAGATACATTGCACCTGTTTTTAAGATAGTATTTTTTCTATGGACCATATATATTTCTTTTTTAATTTTTAGCATTTATGTGCTTGAGACGGAGGCACCATCCCTCCCAACATGTGTGTTATGAATGACCAGACAGAGCTGCTCTGGCACAAATACACCCTGGTGGACTCCTGCAGGGCCGTCTGCTTCTCAGGGCAGTGCAGTAATCATTTTTATCCTGCTGATTTCCCAAATAGAAATGGACATGTATGATAAAAATGTCAGGGCCACTCCACATGTCAGTGCACTAACAGGATTACATGTCACTTTCTAATGTCTCGCTCTGTTTTCCTTTGCCATGAATGGCCACATTATTGCACACAGGAACTTTGTGGTAATATATGGTAAGAGACAAGTAGCTCTTTATGGCCTGTGATTATTTAGTTTGAATGAAACCAGTGATTTATGCCCATTTAGCTGAAAAGCCCTGTAAATTCCCTCAGCTGCATTTCCCCTGGATATAGAGTGAGTGGAGTGAAAGTGACAACTGGGTTTGGTGTGGAAATGTACGCCGCGTCCCACAGTTATATTTAATATACCTGACATGAAAAACGTGCCTACCTACTTACCACCACCCACAGCACAAAGGAAAGTGCAGACCGCTGAGCTTGGGTTGAATCAGAGTGAGGGAGTAAATACTGAATTAGGAAAATATGAAGCGTAGTGGCAGAAAAACCACCAGCTATTAGAGCATGTTGAGAAATGTAGCCAGGCATCTGGTGGGTCAACATTTGAATCATGTGCCGTTTCTTTCATGCCACACAAACTGGAATGGAAACGGTCGAGCCTGTCCAGAACGAGTGCTCTGGGTGGAGTTGTGCAGATGCAGTGTGATGTGGATGAGGGTTAGTGGAGCAGCGGCATATTGTCCACATGGATGGCTTGGCTCTGCAAGCCTGATGGAGCCTTGTCCAGCATCTCAATGTCTCCAACACAAATAGCCACATTCATCCACTCCTCTCACACCATTACACCTAAAAGACTCAAAGCCAGCCCATCCATAAATAGAGCCAAATTTGTTTTTCAGCAGCACTGCAGTCGAACAAAACACCAACAGAGATGAAAACATCAGAGGAGTGGCTACAATATCATGTGCTTCCTAATTTCTTTTTTTATTCAGGGATGGTGTTTATAAGAAAGAGTGCAGGGTCAGTTGGTCAGAGCTTGGTAAAAGGGCCTCTCATTGCATGCCTACTGGCTGGCACAATAGAGCTACTAATCTTCTTATTTACAATCCAGAGGCTGGCCATATCTTAATGAAGCTGTAATGAGCTGTTGAAAAGCCCTGAATTGCAGGAGGGATTATTGAATTGAAACAACTCTGGTAATCATAACGTTCGAGTAGCCACTCAGTATTTACTGCCCATTGAGCTACATTTTTATCCACTTATTAGACTGGATGGCTCAAGCTTGTTTTTTTTTTCTTTTTTGTCTGATTCTGACCCTGCTGTGTTATGTGTTTGTTTATTCTCTGTGAAGCCAGGCATTGTGGTTGCATTGCCAATGCATCCAGGTGTGCACGTATGCTATCTGCTGGGTGATTACGAGTCGCTGACAGACCGGCGAGACTGAAAACCAGAGGAAATAAACAGCGGGATCTGTGAACAAAAATGAGCACTTTGCATAAAATGGACTCTGCACTAGTCTGCTGCAGTTAAGCAGCACATGTTTAATACTGCAAAACCAGGGCTGTAAAATAATACAGAAGAAATAAACCCTACAAGCAAATTGAAAGGAGGAAAAAGGATACTTGCCTTGTTGAGTTCGCAGCGTTCACCGCGTCAAAGACTGAGACACTTACTAGAGGTATAGTTTTCTGTTTAGCATCCTTTCACAGAGTAGAAGTGCCACTTCACCATTGAGCATTTGTCAGTTTATGGATGTTGCTGTCATGTCAGCCTTCCCGTACACACACTGTGCAGCGCAGTGTGTAAATAAAAGAGAGGAGGCATAGACATGGGCGACAGGAACACGGCGCACACACAGAAGGCACGTCTCACTTCATACCTGCAGAGGAAACATCACACTGTAGCAGAGTGCGCAGGCAGTCATAATCATTTTAATCTCTCTTAACTATACAGTCTGGGCCAATTTGATCTGTTTTATTTTCATTTTTAATATCAGTCCTAACATGCCCCTGGATGCCATTAGCTGACCCTGTGCTCCTGTTTGGTTTGTTGCTGCAGGTCTCAGCATCCGCGGTGCCCAGGAGGAGGACCCCCCGGACCCCCAGCTCATGCGTTTAGACAACATGCTGCTGGCAGAGGGCGTGGCGGGACCAGAGAAAGGTGGCGGATCTGCCGCTGCCGCAGCAGCAGCCGCGGCCTCGGGCGGAGCTGCCGACAACTCCATCGAACATTCCGACTACAGAGCCAAACTCACCCAGATCAGACAGATCTATCACACGGAGCTGGAGAAATACGAACAGGTAAGGATGCGTATACTACACACAACCGGAGAATAACATAAATAATGTTGTGTTTGAAAAGGCTCATGACCACCGGCTTGCAGTCGAATGAACCCTTTGCTTTGTACGTGATACTCCACATTACTTTAGAGCAGCTTCTTCCCTGAATTTGCAAAGAAAATTGCAAAGAATATGGTGACAGAGGAAAGTTTGGTGTCAGCTTGGGAAAAAATTGTGTTGTAGTTGATCACAGAGATCCAAAGGAGTGCCTTAATCATCTGTGTTAAATGAAAGTATGATCATCTCCTTCACCCAGCACTTTGAGCTCGCCATTAAACACAGAGGCATTATGAGTGAAAATAGAAGGTGCAACAGTGATGCCTCAGCAAGCCAGCGAGGTAAATTAGACTAATTTACTCTGCGCTCTCCAAGAGAGGAGGTGGGTACGTGGGGGCACGCAGCACTTCGCCTGGAGTAAATGCATCTTTCTTAAGGGTGTTTCCAGGTTTTAATTATCTAAATGTAAATACTTAACGAATTTTACTCAGAGTAATGAGCTAAAGTGTGCACTACGTAAATGAGTTATTCTAATTAATCATGTATGAACCGGTTTAACGAAAAGCTGTTTAAATTCACTCTGCGTTAGGGCCTGGCCAAATTGCAAATCTGCATTCACAGTATATTCAGGGATTGACTTCACCTATTATGTCGTCTAAGTAATATGTAGATGGTGCACTCACATGAAGCTGTCACCAGTGTGCATGTAATGTCTTCTTTTCCAATGTGAAACAAAGGAGAGTTTTCTAAGTACTAAAAATCTCACTGCTGTGACGTTTGCTGTTTCCGTCTCTCTTTCGTCAGGCGTGTAATGAATTCACTACACATGTGATGAACCTGCTGAGGGAACAGTCTCGCACGCGGCCCATCTCTCCTAAAGAGATTGAGCGCATGGTGGGAATCATCCACCGCAAGTTCAGCTCCATCCAGATGCAACTGAAACAAAGCACCTGTGAGGCTGTCATGATCCTGCGCTCCAGATTCCTTGATGCCAGGTCAGTGGATTGTGTGTGTGTAGTGTATATACCATACATGTATGTGCGTGTTTGTGTGTGTGTGGTATTTGTCGCTTCTGTATGACCTATATATTAGTAAATCCATTGGGCGAGGTCATTTTTAGACTTTGCAGGTCTGAACTTTGTTTTTCCGTTCCTCTCACTTTTCTGGCACAACACACAGCATGAGCACTGCAGAGATGCATGATTTTAATTATGTCCATGTTCCTCACATTATCCATTTTCAAGACAATCATGCTCTCACACCTGAGAGCAGTTACGACCAAAATGAAATGGGGACCGAGTCGAGTGCGTAATGGATGGCGGGGAGGTCATCAGCAGGTGTTGTGGATTACTCTAATCACTAACAGCACGGTGCAGTGTGGCGCTCTGCAGAGAGCGGCACAAGTTCGGGGCCAAACAAGCCAAGTGGAAGCACATTTGCTGCCCACTGCCTGTGTGAAGCGCAGTAAACAAGGCAAAATAAGCAAATGCTCAACAACATGATAAGTAGTGCCCTTGGGAGAGAAGGGGACCCAGATCTAGTTAGAGTTTGCTTGTTTCTACTGGAGATCCCTGGGGCTGTGGCACTTCAGGAACAATGCTCAACTGTGCATGCCGTGATTTCTATAATGTACCGAGATGCACTCCGACTGGGCTTTGCGCTCCATCACGAAGCCCACCCATCCACTGCACTAAACTCCACAGATTACACGCTTGGACTGGAGATTGGAGACCAACAGACCAAATTAAACATTGTATGTGTTTTTGTGACTGTGTGTTTGTTTGCGTGTGTGGTTGTGTGTGGTTGTGTGCTTGTCATTTTATTGGTTGAGTCTAGTCTTCTGTGTGTTGACGGGCCTCTTGGAGCAGGACACGATATTCTGCTCCTGAGGGCCCCTTTGAGCCCATTCCTCATTATTTTCACCATTTATGTGTAAGATTGATTGTGCAATTTGTGCGATCCAAATGGATGAGTTAATGCTGGTCCCCACTAATAGGCTTGCCCGGCCTTCTCTCGTTTTTCTTCCCACTCAGGCGGAAAAGGAGAAACTTCAGCAAGCAGGCGACGGAAATTTTGAACGAATATTTCTACTCGCACCTCAGCAACCCATATCCCAGCGAGGAGGCTAAGGAGGAGCTGGCCAAGAAGTGCAGCATCACAGTTTCCCAGGTGGGTAGTGCTCATCCTATAACAGTAGCTGGTGGGTAATCAGTGTGGGGAAAGGCTAAAGCCTAGAGGGATAGTTACCGTGGGTCACACCACTGAGACACAATGTCCTTACCTAACCTTGACATTGTGACTGCCTAATGATGCTTCAGTCAAGGCTGGTCCCAGTCAGTCAGAGCAGGGCCACAGGGAGGGGAGGCCTATATCATCTTGGCCTCAATCAAAGCACTATGCTGTCCTTCCTTAGCCACCCCAGCGCTGGGTCCCCTGCCATTCCCCCCCCTCATTCCCATCTACCATGTGTGCTCTCTCTGTTGCTCAGGTCATAAGTTAGGAAGAAAAAAAATGGCATCATCCATTACTTTAAGAAAAGCAGTTAAAGTCTGGTGCTTCAAAGCACTGGATGATACTGGGTATTTACTTGTATGTTTGCTGTTCAAGTGACCTTGCGGGACTCTGCTAATTCACAGTAATATTTTAGATTTTAAAGATGCGACTTTCCCACTTTTATAAATATACAGCAAAGCCTCCTTGTTCCTGAAGGCAATATCTCTCACACCTAACCCCCACATCCAAAGTATTATTATCCTGTGCTCTTTTTTTCCTGCTATGATTGTGACTACTATCTACGCTATTGTTCTGTGGTTGTCCTCATGAGACACAATATCAGAGAAACATGAATCTATACAATAATCTGCAGTGTTTTTTTGCTGTGTGGGGAGGGGGTGTTGAGGGGTATATTGAGTGTAGTCATGAAGAGTCAGATACTGTAAAAGCCCATTCTTTTTTGCCTTCAGGGGGTGGGAAGCACCATCACAGTATCACAGGTATGTCATAACTTCTCCTGATCCACTGTTTTTCATTTTTTTGTATCTCGTTTTTGTTTATGTATGTAATAGCCTCACAGTTTTGCCACTGCACAGAAACTCCCTCCCTCACAATGTACTGAATAAATGCTAATGTCATTCTATAGAGTGTAAAGTTTTGAACTGACATTTCTAAAAGAGACGGATATGAATTTTCAGCATTTACATCCTACCTGTAAGTCACACGACAACACAGACTCTATCTGGTTGATCCATACTTTTGCACTACACCCATGTTATCGCCATATTATGTGTGTACAAATGTGTCACATGAACTATTTCACTTTTTGGCTATTGTTTACCACATTATTAATTTATTTTTTTTGTTTGTTGTAGAGCTTTGACTAATTGTGTGGTCTTCTGAAATCCTCAAACTGCACTGAGTTTATTTACCCAAACACCCACCTCATGTTCACGGTGGGCTTTGTGGCAGGTAAAAAAAAAAAAAAAGGCCACCGACCCTCACAGATGGAGCTCCGGTGTGTTTTCTGAGTGCCTCGCAAAAAAACAAAAAAAAAATAAACAGGCCACTGCATCAGTTCCCATGAGAACAGATCAGCCCATGCAGAAATTAGAGGGCTTTTAAAAATTCACTTGAACTCATCTCGGGCCCCATTTGTGGCGTGCTCCTCGACAAGCAGAGGCCAACTGCAGACGCTGTTATTGACTTATTCTTAGTGCTTAGGCTCATTTTAAGTGAATAACAAAGCTGGCTGCTCGACATGTGGCCGAGCACGCCATAAGTTATCCCTTGCCGCACCCCGCCCCTTCCAGAGTCGCAAACCTGGCTGGCTGCGGCCTCACTGAGTGCTCAGCTTAGTCATTTCTTTTTTTCAAACAACCCCCCCCCCCCCCCCCCCTCTTTGCACAAGCAGTTCATTAAGTAAAAACCATCCATTGTGAATGGTATGCCAATATCAGTCTGCAGCTTTGCTCAATACATTGTCACTGACG